TGTTTGTGTTTTAGGTCTCTCACTACGTAGCAGAGATTAACCTTGAGTTCACGATGCTTCATTCTGTACCAAATTCTCCACATAAGCAGTTTTCCAAATAATTGCAAGTTCTTAAATTCTCAAAATTTTAAAGAAAAAAAAATGTCAAATTTATATACATTTCTCTGCCTCCCTCAAAATATCTCTTAAAAACAGTATTGATAACACCATTATCACAAACATTAAGTGCTACAGTTACTCCACAATGTCGAGACAAGAATTTGAAATCTCATGTACCTAGTGAGAGGGCTTCTTCACATCTTTCCCTGTCCCTTTGTGTCACTGTCCTCACAGAACTTCTGTCACTTGGGTCTGTCCTCACTACGAACAGCGGGCTTCAGTGGTGACATCTAACTGCAGTGCAAGTCATTAAGATTATAGAATTCTAATCATGGGCACAGGATTCAGAGCCAGGGCACTGATGTGACCCAGCGTGCTAGAGAAGGCTTCCTAAGAAGACAGAAATGGAATCCCTAGAAAATCGGGCCTGCCACCTCCCGCTGGTAACTTACACCAGCTTTCTCCGTGACATGCTATGTTGTTCTGACAGCCTTTGACTAGCAGGTGAATGAAACTGAGTCATGTGAGGATATTACATATATTAAGGTCAACGTGGCCTGAAGAATTGCTTCTCCTAGACATTAAGATGTGGCGATGGGAGGAAGAGAGGGCAAACTGGATTACAACATAAAACTGTTTCACTAGCCCGAAAGGTCTGAAAAATGAATGCTTGGGGTGTGTGTGTGTGTGTGTGTGTGTGTGTGTGTGTGTGTGTGTGCGCGTGCGCGCGCTTTCCTAGTGAAATGCAGAACAGGCTCTTCCAGCTCTCAAGTGCTCTCCATACCCTCAGCAAGGGGCAGAGCCAGGGGAGCTAACCAGTACCTGGAGAATTCCAAACCAACTTCTTTTCTTTTGAAATGAAATGTTTAGAAGCAATCAGAAAAACTCTTTAAAAATGAAGACCTGCAGCCGGGCGGTGGTGGCGCACGCCTTTAATCCCAGCACTCAGGAGGCAGAGCCAGGCGGATCTCTGTGAGTTCGAGGCCAGCCTGGGCTACCAAGTG